TGGAGATTAAAACCACTAAAACCTCACATGATTAGCCCGAGAATAACGGGACTCTAACCCATGGTTCGTCTACTACTGAAGATATTTTACGTCAGAACTGTAGTTGATGCAAAATGGAGGCGGAATTCGTATCAACCAACCTTCGCCGGGATTCAAACCCGGTTCATCTAATTGGAAGACGAACGCTCTATTCCCTGAACTATCGCGGCGCAGTTAAAAATATTTATTTTTAAAAAAATCAATATCAATTTTTTTCCCACCACAACTAAAATGGTTTGAATTATCAATTCGGGAACATGACACCTGGAGGCCGAGGTATTTATCCGCCATTTTTTGCTTCGATAAATACTATAGGAATTTTTTGTCCAACATCGTAATTCTACATTGATCGTTTGCTCCATTCATCGTGATTCTACATTGATCGTTTGCTCCATTCTTCGTGATTCTACATAGATCGTTTGCTCCTTTCATCCTGATTCTACATTGATTGTTTGCTCCATTCATCGTGATTCTACATCGATCGTTTGCTCCATTCATCGTGATTCTACATAGATCGTTTTTACATATACAGCAAAAGTCCGTTATAACAGCACTTCATAATAACAGATGGAAATGTCGTAAAAATTAGCTAAACCGCACAAATGCAATATTGAATGTTGAAATAGCAGGGCGGGGGGAGGGGGGGAGAGAGAAAGACTAAATGATAAAATAGGCACTCATACTTCTTCTATTTTGAGTAACTCTTTTGATTTAAAATACATTCTAGAAATAGATTGCTTTTGTAAATTCGGCTGGAATTATAAATTCGGCAGGGAATTTAAAAAGGAAGTTTAAAAAAATACCATATGAAATGCACCATTTTTTGACGTCATCAAGAAAACTGAATATTGATTTCAATATTAAGCTGTCAAGATAAAATAAATAAATAAATAATAGGGTGTGGTAAATAAGAAGCGCATTTTTTTGAGTATGATACAATTCTCATAAATTGCAGAATTAATATTTTGTACGAAGGATTATAAATTGACTGGCTGTCATTGTGCGGACACACATGATCGCTTTATTAACAGTTAAAATTGTAAGAGGAACTGTTTTTCGAAAAAAATAATAATGAAAAATTTCTCATTTAAAAAAATCATATATATATATATATATGTATATAAATTCGGCAGGGAATTTAAAAAGGAAGTTTAAAAAAATACCATATGAAATGCACCATTTTTTGACGTCATCAAGAAAACTGAATATTGATTTCAATATTAAGCTGTCAAGATAAAATAAATAAATAAATAATAGGGTGTGGTAAATAAGAAGCGCATTTTTTTGAGTATGATACAATTCTCATAAATTGCAGAATTAATATTTTGTACGAAGGATTATAAATTGACTGGCTGTCATTGTGCGGACACACATGATCGCTTTATTAACAGTTAAAATTGTAAGAGGAACTGTTTTTCGAAAAAAATAATAATGAAAAATTTCTCATTTAAAAAAATCATATATATATATATATATGTATATAAATTCGGCAGGGAATTTAAAAAGGAAGTTTAAAAAAATACCATATGAAATGCACCATTTTTTGACGTCATCAAGAAAACTGAATATTGATTTCAATATTAAGCTGTCAAGATAAAATAAATAAATAAATAATAGGGTGTGGTAAATAAGAAGCGCATTTTTTTGAGTATGATACAATTCTCATAAATTGCAGAATTAATATTTTGTACGAAGGATTATAAATTGACTGGCTGTCATTGTGCGGACACACATGATCGCTTTATTAACAGTTAAAATTGTAAGAGGAACTGTTTTTCGAAAAAAATAATAATGAAAAATTTCTCATTTAAAAAAATCATATATATATATATATATGTATATAAATTCGGCAGGGAATTTAAAAAGGAAGTTTAAAAAAATACCATATGAAATGCACCATTTTTTGACGTCATCAAGAAAACTGAATATTGATTTCAATATTAAGCTGTCAAGATAAAATAAATAAATAAATAATAGGGTGTGGTAAATAAGAAGCGCATTTTTTTGAGTATGATACAATTCTCATAAATTGCAGAATTAATATTTTGTACGAAGGATTATAAATTGACTGGCTGTCATTGTGCGGACACACATGATCGCTTTATTAACAGTTAAAATTGTAAGAGGAACTGTTTTTCGAAAAAAATAATAATGAAAAATTTCTCATTTAAAAAAATCATATATATATATATATATGTATATAAATTCGGCAGGGAATTTAAAAAGGAAGTTTAAAAAAATACCATATGAAATGCACCATTTTTTGACGTCATCAAGAAAACTGAATATTGATTTCAATATTAAGCTGTCAAGATAAAATAAATAAATAAATAATAGGGTGTGGTAAATAAGAAGCGCATTTTTTTGAGTATGATACAATTCTCATAAATTGCAGAATTAATATTTTGTACGAAGGATTATAAATTGACTGGCTGTCATTGTGCGGACACACATGATCGCTTTATTAACAGTTAAAATTGTAAGAGGAACTGTTTTTCGAAAAAAATAATAATGAAAAATTTCTCATTTAAAAAAATCATATATATATATATATATGTATATAAATTCGGCAGGGAATTTAAAAAGGAAGTTTAAAAAAATACCATATGAAATGCACCATTTTTTGACGTCATCAAGAAAACTGAATATTGATTTCAATATTAAGCTGTCAAGATAAAATAAATAAATAAATAATAGGGTGTGGTAAATAAGAAGCGCATTTTTTTGAGTATGATACAATTCTCATAAATTGCAGAATTAATATTTTGTACGAAGGATTATAAATTGACTGGCTGTCATTGTGCGGACACACATGATCGCTTTATTAACAGTTAAAATTGTAAGAGGAACTGTTTTTCGAAAAAAATAATAATGAAAAATTTCTCATTTAAAAAAATCATATATATATATATATATGTATATAAATTCGGCAGGGAATTTAAAAAGGAAGTTTAAAAAAATACCATATGAAATGCACCATTTTTTGACGTCATCAAGAAAACTGAATATTGATTTCAATATTAAGCTGTCAAGATAAAATAAATAAATAAATAATAGGGTGTGGTAAATAAGAAGCGCATTTTTTTGAGTATGATACAATTCTCATAAATTGCAGAATTAATATTTTGTACGAAGGATTATAAATTGACTGGCTGTCATTNATTAGTTTGTGATTTTTATTATAAATAGCTGACAAAATTTTGTCTTGAATTTCTTTGTGTTGGAAAAATATATTAATAAATAAATACATGTATTTTTAGAGGCTTTCCTTATTTTGTAAATCTGATTAGAAATAACAAAGAAAGGCATTAAGATGTAAAAAAAACGCCCTAAGTTTCCACACTTTCCTCTATCCTTAAAAAAAATAAATAAAAATAAAAACTGTTTTAGTTTTGAGTAATTAAATGAAAATATTATGTAGAGGAAAAATACAAAAAAAAAAGGAAAAAAATCAGGCAACAAGCACCCCCATCTCTCAGGACCTCCCTCTCTTCACCCCCACATCACTTAATATTCATCAAGATGAAGGGGGTCGCCTGAGAGGGGAGGGTGAAATCGTCAGCACGCAACCAACCATCGACCATCACAACGAACCCGACTGCGAAAACTAAAAGTTCTATGGTTAGGTGCTATTGCAGGCTAGAGCTGCTCTTTGCTATAGTTCCCAAATTAATTCTTAGTACCTTCGTTCAACAGTCGTTGCGCAAAAGGCAAAATTCGTTTGCAAATGACTTTTTTTCTTGGCTAATGCACGGAGAGAAAAAAAATCGTCTTAAATTCGAATTTTCAAATAAAAAAAATTCCGTTTGTTTGCGCTTGGATTGAATAACAATAATAATAATTTAGAATTTGGTGTGGAATACGCTTCCTTTATTGATTTCGTGACGGCTTTGTGTTTTGAGTGTTATCCTGAACAAATGCCTGTTGCCAAAAGCAAATTTGGAATATAATGTTTTTTAGTTGACTGCACGAGAGGTTTCGTGGCGTCTTATTGGATTTTAGCACGTTTGCGGAAAAAAGTTGAAGCAAGTGTCAACAGTAGCACTGTTCTTTGGATAAAAACATTCGATAGTTTTTCGTACTATGATTTCTGGTTATTCAAAACCCCGCGTGTCAAAAAACATAAGAAAGCCTACATAGATAAATAAGATCCTGTGATTCGCAGTAAAAGGTTTTTTTTAAATTTTATTTTGAAAATTTAGTCGTAATAACAAGATTAGATTTGAATGTTTACGGAACTCATTAGTCAAAAAAATAATCTTATTGGTTCGAGTTATTGAAAAATATATTTATTAAGATTATAGAGTGATTTTCTTGTTAACTGCTTATTAAAAGAGGAAGAAAAAAAACATTCTTTAAAATTATCTGAAATAAACGCGAAATCTTGTAGGTAACTCTTGCAGTAGAACGTACTTCAACAAAAAAAAATTTAAAAAATAAAGAAGAAGCATTTTTTAATCATGAAATAAAAACTAGTTCAAATTATTAAAGTTGTTAACATTTTAATCTTGTTTGAAAATAAAATCCGCTGAAAAATTATAAGCAAAAGACGATAAATGAAAGCGTAGCAAAAATTAAGAAATAAACAATATCTAAAAGTAGAAGAAGAAAAAAACTATTCCACACAAACGATATCATTATTCTTTATTTTTTAGAAAGGAAGAATAAATAAATAAAAAAATATTGTTTTCAGGATATTAAAATTACCATTGCTTTTAGGTCTAAAGAAAAAGAAAAATCAAACGATGAGTAAAAAGCAAGCGATAACTTTCAATATTTAAATTTTCTTTTCTGCAATTAAAAATGAAATGCATCATTAAGTCGTAATTAAGAATAATTATCTGCGTTATTCAAAAAGTTTTGTTCTGAAGGAATCCGCACTTTGAATTACTATGCTTATTGTGTTAATCGATAAGAAATTCAGCAATATCGATACGGATTAACGGAAGTAGAATTCTTACCTTCCGTGAGGCAAAGTTCCTTCTGTGGAATTCCTTCAACGTGATTCGTTGAATTCTTTTGCCAGAAAGTGTGACTATCCGGAAAAAAGTGGCAGCGCCACTTGGATTGAAGTCAGAAGAAAAAGACTTGTATCGCGCTGTCCAGCGAGTGGAGAGTTGTTGACTTGGAAATAGCCATCCCCCACTTCTTTTACTTCCCCCCTCTTTTCTCACCGTTGCCATAACGACAGGGGTGGCGCTCTAGCCTCACGCGTGAACGTTGAAGACCCCAGCGGTCAGTTGCATGAGATTACCACTCGGCTAGAGGAAGGAGATCTATTCAGTGTGCACTGAAACGTCCAGTAGTTGAAACCGACTCTCGCTCAGAAGGCGGGGAAAAGGAGAAGCGTGCTTGAGAACTGGTGGAAAAAAAAGTTTGTTGAAGAAAGTAAAAAAAAACTTGTCACTTCATCTACTGGAGGTAGCGATATCGCCATTGGCCAGATCCGCTATCACGTGACCCAGACCACCCCCTTCCTCCACCTCAACTTATCTGCCCATACTTTTATGTCAACCACAGGTTTCGCAGAGATGGTTCTTCATCCATTTATTTTCCGATTTATCTGTAAGGAGTTAGACAGCTAATTTACTGGCTTTTGCGTCGGGGTGCCTTGTTTTTTTTTATTTTTAATAATTTTTTCACCTTCTTTTTTTCATTTCTGATTTTTGAAAGAAACGATTCATTATAAGAGTGAAAGGCAGCGAGGAAAAAAAATAATTTGTGGGTTTTTTTTTTTCTTTTTGAAGAAAACGATTTTTCAAAATGATGAACGGAGCAGCCATGTACTGTGAAAGTGTTTATCAGCTGAGATCCGGCAATGATGACTACAAAAGTTATCACAGCGAACCGGACAACTACGTGCAGGACACGAAATTGTTCTACGCGGACCCTAGTCCGCAACATTGTTCTTATCCGGAACCGAACGTCCCCGAACCACCTGCCGGACATTTACCACATCAAATAATCAACGAGGAAAATGGATTAATTTATACAAATTTAGATGCCGGACAAAACTATAATCCCATCCAGCATCATTATCAACAGCCTTACTATCATCAGTCTTCTGGGCCTCATTATTATCCGGTAACTGCAGAATACAATGTCCGGCAAATGTCGAATAACATAAACGAAAATGGTATTGGACACCACCATGCGATCCACCAACAAATCCGTCGAAATATGTACCATGGATATCCAAATTACGGTAATCAACCTAACGACCAAAACCACCAGCCGATACCTGGCGGGAACAGCCCGTCGATGAGCGCGGTAGCAGTTTATCAAAGGCCGCAACAGCAACAGCCCATTCCCACATTCAAATGGATGCAAATTAAAAGGAGTGTACCTAAACCTACAGGTAAGTTTTTATTTTATTTTACTGCTTATTTTAATTTAGTAGTGATTAGAATGTGTAAAGTAATAGTTTTAATTAATGCGTTTACTTTAAGCTACTAAAAAAAACTAGCTATCAATTTTTTCCCCACATATTTTACAAAAATTTTTTATTTCTATTTTTAGCAATATTTTATAACTCCCGAGCTTCTGCTTTATAGAACAACATTTGGTACAATTTTGCAACTTAAAAAAATTTATTTTAATGTTTTTTTGTTTTGTTTTATGTCTTAACAATGTGATTGTTTGCGTAAAAATGTAATTGATTCAGAAATTTTAATTATAATGTAGTATTATTAGAAGGAAAAGCAACTCTATTAATGAAACCTGTTTCGTCAATTCTTTGCTGCATAAATATCTTATTTGAATTTATCTAATTTAGAACAAATAAACTGTAAAAGTATCATACTAAATCTAAAAAATGCTGAAAATTCAATATTTTTTCCCTATATAATAATGATTAAGAAAAATATAAGTTTAATCATTTTTTTTTAAAATATTTTTTATCTCGGGAATTTACTCTATTCTAAACATCAAATTTTTCAGTAAAAATCACATTTTTACCATTATTGTAGATTTCTGGTCTTAGAAGAACAAATTTCTTTGTTAAAAATTAAATTACCTATTTCATAAACTTACGATCTAAACACGTGCATTCTCCATTTGAACTGATATACTTGGATTTTTGTGTTACGATAATCTCAGTATTAAACACGAGTTTGTGTGAAATTGTTAAATACTCTATTTTAAAAATAATATTTCAAATAAAAGTTTATTAAAAAAATCATTATTATTTAAATAATGAGGCAGATATTCTTATTCTTTTAAACTACAAATAAGCTCCATGTATTTTTCTCAAATGGGAAACAATATTGAGATAAACATGTGCTTTGGATAGTTAATTATAGAGATGTTTTCTTTTATTATATTCTTATAACTTTTAGTTTATACAAAATGATTTAAAATCTCAAATAGGTTTTGATATGATGGGAATATGCCAAATTGTTTTAAAAAGAAATCAAAATACTTTTTTTTTCAAAATTATTTTTCGTAAAATTTTTAACTTGCAGTAATATTTAAATTCTAAGTTTTTATTCGTAAAGTTCAGTGTAAATTAAATGAGTTTTTATTTAAGAAAAATTTTTCTAATTGCTAATAATGAGTACATAGAAATATTCAATTTTTATATTTTGGATTTTTTCTTATTATTTCTTAAAACATATAATCAAGTTGTAGATGTTTATTTATATCTAATCAACATTAAATTATTCTTACTGTGCAGGAAAAAATAAAAAGTTTTAAGTCAATGGAGACAAGTTAATGTTTCTTATTTTTAACTTTATGTTTGAAATAGACTTGTTTTGAATTAAATCGAATTTGTGATGTAATTGTTAATGTAAGTTAATACAAATTTCCAATTAAAAAATTTATAAATAAATATTAACAATGGGTACATGTTAATATTTATCATTTCTTAAGAATTTTGATATAGATCCATTGTTTTGAATAAGATATGATTCAGATTTTGGATTTTTTTTTAAAAATGTGTCAAGTTCAATTTGTAGATGAATTATTGCTTTCCAAAAAATCTTATTTTTTTTCTTTAAGTTGAAATTGTTGCGATATTTCAATTACGAATTTTTATTTCTTAAAGTTAAATGTAAGTTAATTTGAATACTTATTTACTTTTTTCATGAAGAAAAAAATATATCTGCTGTTAACCATTGAAACACATACATATTTTGACTGGTTAACCATTGAAACACATACATATTTTGACTGGTTAACCATTGAAACTCATACATATTTTGACTGCATTGTGAAAGAAATGTGTTTTTTTGTGAGTATAAGATTTAATTCATATTTTGTATAAGCTTTTACAAAATATCTTTTGATAGGAATTTTCAAATTGTAAATGTTTATTTACATTTAAGAAAAGTTAAATCGAATTTATAATAAAGTGAAAAAGCGCAAAAAGGATTCATTTTCTAAATTACTTTCTATATAATACTACTTAATAAAATGTATAAAGAAAAATTTCTGAAAATATAGTGAATCGTATTTCAATACAAAAGTAACATTTATTTTAAACTTCAGTTTTTTTTACCTAAAACTATAATTAAAACAAGTAAACAAGAAATTTTTAACGATGTTTAGATCAGAAAGTGTGTTACATATTTTTATCTTATTAATATTTCATTTAAAATCAAAAATAAGTATGAATAATAAAATACTAATTAGTACTTTATTTTACCTGAAAATTTCGATGAGCCCCATTATTTTTTTAAATAATAGTTTAATTGATCATCAAATTAAAATTTTATTAACGTGTTGTTCCTTTTTTTTAATTCATAAGTTAATATTCCATTTTTAACAGAACAATCTGTTTTTAAAAAGAAGTAACAACTAACAAGGATGTAGAATCTTTAAACAAGTGCCACTGTATTACTGCTTCTTAGAATCTCTTAGGCAAAATCTAAATTTTTAAATATAAATATGATACTAAATTATGACCCAACATTTTTGTTTTATACTTAAAACACATTTTTAGCGACACTTTAATTTTTGTAGTTGTAATGAAATTAAAAGCAATGCGATGAACACGGATATAATACAAATACTAAAAATATTCAGCTTATTTTCACTATATTCATGAATTAGTGATTCTCAATGTATTCATAAAGTGGTGATTTTCAATATTTTCATTAAGTTATTTTTAATAGCAGCAGTTTGTTTTTTATTGTCATTTTACTTTTTTTTCTTAGTCATAAATTATTATGTTATACTTTATATTATGATGAAAATCTTGAGAAAAAAAATTAACAGGTTCAATCTAGAACTTTTATAAAAGAATTGCGGGTGTAAATCTTATATTCACATTTTTTTTCCCTCTACATTTTCTCCCTGTATACAGTTTTTTTCTATGTTTAATCATTGTATGTACTGAACTTCATAGTCAACTAATGATGAAGAACAACAAAAAGCTGAATTATTTTACTTTTTTTTTTAAAAAAGAAAGCTAACTTGTTATTTTGCGCAATTTTCCCCTTCTCATGCATTATGTTTGTTTCTCTAAAAATTCACTTTTGTGTTTAAACAAAAACGAAACAAAAAATATTTAAGACATCCTTAAAACCTCATTAAATAGTATCAATATATTCAGATTAGTATAATTAAAGATTACATCACATTCCAACTTTACATTACATTTTGATTTGCTGAGAAAAACTATAAAACATGGGAACTTGAAATAACAAAAGGATGTAGAATAATGTACAGGAACTACGATAGAATCAAAGAATTTAAAATTCAATTCCTTATTATTTATTCTTTATTCCACTTATTCATTGTTGTAGATAAACTTATTCATTTAACTCGGGGTCCCTATTTCATCAACTCACGATTGAGTTGATTACAAAAGTAACAAGAAAGAAAGAGAGTTTTTAAGTATTACTTGATTTAAATCCAAGCGTAACATACGGTATCATTTAACATTATCTCATCATTAACATACATTGAAACTTCTGAAAAACATAAAAACTAAATTCAAAAGAGGTTTAAAAAAAACATTTACAATTTGAGCTACCATAATCATGTAAGTCTCGTTTACAAATGACATTTATCCTTTTATGTTGCACATTCAAATACAGTAAATTTTTCAAAAGCTGGTAATCGTGCGTTTCGTTACGATTATTAACAAAATGTTGTTATATAAAACAAGAATAATTTTACATTTTTATTAACGCAATGTTCTTTTTCTGGGAAATATCGACTTTTAAGAAAAAATAATGATAAATGCGATGCAATCATGGGTTTGGTGAACAAAGCCTCCAACTTAAAGTAAAAAAGCGATACTTAATTTATATATTAATCGGTTACAATAATTATAAAGTTTACTCACTTTATAATAATCAGAAGATAGTCTTATATGCAAATAACTAAGTGATGCATACTAAAGTGGGAAATAACTCCGAATGAAGATAGGGTTAATTTTATGTTATGTATGAAATAATTCTAAACATTGCCGCATCGATTCTTCATCATAGAACCGAAACTATAGTATGCCTGTCCTGCTAATTTGTGCTTTTTCACGATTTTTTTTCCCCTCTATCAACTAAATGCATGTTTCCATTCCTTCTAAGAATTAAAAATTCTCACTTGGTAAAAAATAATAAAAATATTTCTTTTAAAACAAAAGGCACTTTTTCTCCTTATTCAGAGGTAATGACATTACCAGTTTTTTTTCTTTTTTTTTTAAACTTAATTCTGGTATTGAAACTAAAATATACAGTTTTTGAACCATTCATTTGTCAATTTTTTTTATTTTTTTGTTCATATGGTTTACCAGAATTTTAGTTCCTGTTAACATATTTATTAAAAAAATAAACTGAAAAGTTTACTAAATCGAATAAGTGGTTTTTATACCATGCTCTTAGGTATTATGATAAAATTACTAGATTTTGCCGCATTTTCAAACGTTTATCCCATATTGTAAAACCATATTTTATTGTTAATTTTACCTAAATCATTACCAAAGCGCTTCGGTACTGATTACCGAACTTTTTGGTGTTCTCATACAGCCAGAAACACTTCAAATTTTACCTCATTCTGGTATTTTTAATTTTTTTTTTCACAGTAGAGCTCAAAATTTTCACCAGGGAATGAAAAAAAAAAAAAATAGAAGAGAGGATTTTAACCATTGAAACTGAAGAACGGTTGCAACTAGTCGCAGCTACATTCAAATGAGTCATTCGAGTAGAATTTGTGAGGAACTGAGAAAAAAAAAATTTCATTGATACTCTATTACCTCGGTTAATGCTTTTCTTACTTCTATAATTTTACTTCCTTTATATTAGACTTGACTGTTTTCCGAAAGTTTTATCCTGTCGTGAAATAGCCCTTTTTTTTGACGATTAATATGCGATATTCATAACTATGAGTTTATAATAGTTATTCATGATTGTT